TTATGGAATAGAGAGATAACCATAAGGCTTTTGCCAGTTGCCGATAACTTCAACAAAACATGATCATCTCATACAACAACTTATATCTCATCATGTCTTGACCATATCACATCACAACATGCCCTGCAAAAACAAGTTAGACGTCCTCTACTTTGTTGTTGCAAGTTTTACGTGGCTGCTACGGGCTGAGCAAGAACCGTTCTTACCTACGCATCAAAACCACAACGATAGTTTGTCAAGTTGGTGTTGTTTTAACCTTCGCAAGGACCGGGCGTAGCCACACTCAGTTCAACTAAAGTTGGAGAAACTGACACCCGCCAGCTACCTGTGTGCAAAGCACGTCGGTAGGACCAGTCTCGCGTAAGCGTACGCGTAATGTCGGTCCGGGCCGCTTCATCCAACAATACCGCCGAACCAAAGTATGACATGCTGGTAAGCAGTATGACTTATATCGCCCACAACTCACTTGTGTTCTACTCGTGCATATGACATCTACGCATAAAACCTGGCTCGGATGCCACTGTTGGGGAACGTAGTAATTTCAAAAAAATTCCTATGCACACGCAAGATCATGGTGATGCATAGCAACGAGAGGGGAGAGTGTTGTCTACGTACCCTCGTAGACGGAAAGCAGAAGCGTTATCACAACATGGTTGATGTAGTCGTACGTCTTAACGATCTGACCGATCAAGTACCGAACGCACGACACCTCCGAGTCCTGCACACGTTCAACTCGATGACGCCCCTCGAACTCCGATCCAGCCGAGTGTTGAGGGAGAGTTTCGTCAGCACAACGGGGCGGTGATGATGATGATGTTCTACCGACGCAGGGCTTCACCTAAGCACCGCTACGATATGACCGAGGTGGATTATGGTGGAGGGGGCACCGCACACGGCTAAGAGATCAAAAGATCAATTGTTGTGTCTTTGGGGTGCCCCCTGCCCCCGTATATAAAGGAGTGGAGGAGGGGGAGGGCCGGCCCTCTCTATGGAGCGCCCTAGGGGAGTCCTACTCCCACCGGGAGTAGGATTCCCCCTTTCCTAGTAGAACTAGGACCCTTCCAAGTAGTAGGAGTAGGAGGGAAGGAAAGGGAGGGAAAAGGAGAAGGAAGGGGGCGCCCCCCTCCCTAGTCCAATTCGGACCAGCCCATGGGGAGGGGTGCGGCCACCCTTTGAGGCCTTTCTCTCCTTTCCTGTATGGCCCATTAAGGCCCAATACGAATTCTCGTAACTCCTCGGTACTCCCAAAAATGCCCGAATCACTCGGAACCTTTCCGATGTCCGAATATAGTCGTCCAATATATCGATCATTATGTCTCGACCATTTCGAGACTCCTCGTCATGTCCCCGATCTCATCCGGGACTCCGAACTCCTTCGGTACATCAAAACACATAAAATCATTATATAACCGTCATCGAACTTTAAGCGTGCGGACCCTACGGGTTCAAGAACTATGTAGACATGACCGAGACACGTCTCCGGTCAATAACCAATAGCGGAACCTGGATGCTCATATTGGCTCCTACATGTTCTACGAAGATCTTTATCGGTCAACCCGCATAACAACATACGTTGTTCTCTTTGTCATCGGTATGTTACTTGCCCGAGATTCGATCGTCGGTATCTCAATACCTAGTTTAATCTTGTTACCGGCAAGTCTCTTTACTCGTTCTGTAACACATCATCCCGCAACTAACTCATTAGTTGCAATGCTTGCAAGGCTTATAGTGATGTGCATTACCGAGTGGGCCTAGAGATACCTCTCCAACAATCGGAGTGACAAATCCTAATCTCGAAATACGCCAACCCAACAAGTACCTTCGGAGACACCTGTAGAGCAACTTTATAATCACCTAGTTACGTTGTGACTTTTGGTAGCACACAAAGTGTTCCTCCGGTAAATGGGAGTTGCATAATCTCATAGTCATAGGAACATGTATAAGTCATGAAGAAAGCAATAGCAACAAACTAAACGATCAAGTGATATGCTAACGGAATGGGTCAAGTCAATCACATCATTCTCTAATGATGTGATCCCGTTAATCAAATGACAACTCATGTCTATGGCTAGGAAACTTAACCATCTTTGATTCAATGAGCTAGTCAAGTAGAGGCATACTAGTGACATACTGTTTGTCTATGTATTCACACATGTATTATGTTTCCGGTTAATACAATTCTAGCATGAATAATAAACATTTATCATGATATAAGGAAATAAATAATAACTTTATTATTGCCTCTAGGGCATATTTCCTTCAGTCCCGACTATTGTCACTTCGGGGTTGCCGGATCATAACACATAATAGGTGACTATAGACTTGCAAGATAGGATCAAGAACTCTCATATATTGATGAAAACATAATAGGTTCATATCTGAAATCATTGCACTTGGGCCCTAGTGACAAGCATTAAGCATAGCAAAGTCATAGCAACATCAATCTCAGAACATAGTGGATACTAGGGATCAAACCCTAACAAAACTAACTCGATTACATGATAAATCTCATCCAACCCATCACCGTCCAGCAAGCCTACGATGGAATTACTCACACACGGTGGTGAGCATCATGAAATTGGTGATGGAGGATGGTTGATGATGACGATGGTGACGGATTCCCCTCTCCAGAGCCCCGAACGGACTCCAGATCAGCCCTCCCGAGAGAGCTTAGAGCTTGGCAGCGGCTCCCTATCATAAAACGCGATGAATCCTTCTCCCTGGTTGTTTTCTCCCCGAAAGTGAATATATGGAGTCGGGGTTGAGGTCGGTGGAGCATCAGGGGGGCCACGAGGCAGGGGGGCGCACCCCCCACCCTCGTGGACAGGTGGAGGCCCCCCTGACATGGATCTTCCTTCCAGTATTTTTTATATATTCCAAAATAATTCTTCGTTGATTTTCAGGTCATTCCGAGAATTTTTATTTCTGCACAAAAATAACACCATGGCAATTCTGCTGAAAACAACGTCAGTCCGAGTTAGTTCCATTCAAATCATGCAAGTTAGAGTCCAAAACAAGGGCAAAAGTTTTTGGAAAAGTAGATACGACGGAGACGTATCAGTACCCTCTTAGACCGTAAGCGGAAGCGTTTGACAGCGCGGTTGATGTAGTCGAACTTCTTCTAGCTCCGACCGATCAAGTATCGAACGTACAACACCTCTGAGTTTTGCACACGTTCAGCTCGGTGACGTCCCTTGTCTTCTTGATCCAGCAAGGCATTGAGGTAGTAGATGAGTTTCTCAGCACGACGGCATGATGACGGTGATGGTGAAGTGATCCTCTTAGGGCTTCGCCTAAGCACCGTGAGAATATGACCGGGGGTGTAAACTGTGGAGTGGGGTGCCGCACACGGCTAAAAATTGATGTTGTGTGTTCTAGGCGCCCCCCTCCCCATATATAGGTGGGAGGGGGAGAGGCTAGGAGGCTCCCAAGGGCTGGCCGCCGACCCCCTTGGGGCTTCCTTACCCTGCGCCCCTGCCATATTTGACGGAGGGGGGAGGAAAGAGGGGGGGAGAGAAGGAAGTGGGAATCCTAATCCACACTTGCCTTTCTCCCTTTCCCTTTCCTTCTCCATCCCTGGACGGCGATATGTGGGGCGCACCAGACCCTTGTGGCTGGTGCGTTTCCCCACTTGGCCCATAAGGCCCATATCTTTTGCCAGGGTGCCCAGAACACCTTTCGATGAGCCGATATGTATCTGGTACCCTCTGGAACACTTCGGTGTCCGGATACTATTGTCCTATATATCAATCTTTACCTCTCGACCATTTCGAGACTCCTTGTCATGTCCGTGATCTCATCCGGGACTCCGAACAACATTCGGTCACCAAAATCACATAACTCATATAATACAATATCGTCATCGAATGTTACGCGTGCGGACCCACGGGTTCGAGAACTATGTAGACATGACCGAGATACCTCTCCGGTCAATAACCAATTGCGGAACCTGAATGATCATATTGGCTCCTACATATTCTACGAAGATCTTTATCGGTCGAACCGTTATGACAACATATGTTATTTCCTTTGTCCATCGTTATGTTACTTGCCCGAGATTCGATCGTCGGTATCTTCATACCTAGTTTAATATCGTTACCGGCAAGTCTCTTTACTCGTTCCATAATACATCACCTCGTGACTAACTCCTTAGTCGTTTGCTTGCAAGTTTATGATGTGTATTACCGAGAGGGCCCAAAATACCTCTCCGATACTCAGAGTGACAAATCCTAATCTCGATCTATACCAACTCAACAAACACCTTTGGAGATACCTGTAGAGCATCTTTATAATCACCCAGTTACGTTGTGACGTTTGATAGCACATAAGGTATTCCTCTGGTATCCGAGAGTTGCATAATCTCATAATCGAAGGAATATATATTTGACATGAAGAAAGCAATAGCAATAAAACTGAACGATCATAATGCTAAGCTAACGGATGGGTCTTGTCCATCACATCATTCTCCTAATGATGTGATTCCGTTATCAAATGACAACTCATGTCTATGGCTAGGAAACCTTAACCATCTTTGATCAATGAGCTAGTCAAGTAAAGGCTCACTAGGGACACGGTGTTTGTTTATGTATTCACACATGTATTTAAGTTTTCGATCAATACAATTCTAGCATGAATAATAAACCTTTGTCATGAATAAGGAAATATAAAATAACAACTTTATTATTGCTTCTAGGGCATATTTCCTTCGGCATCAACCTGTTGCTACTATTTAAGTCGACTCGTATACTATTTAAGTCGACTCCTACATGCATTCATTGATAATCTCACCACTAGTTATCTTCCATGTATGTTACATATTATTGCACACAGTCCAACACAATAATCTGCGGGGTAAGGGTACCTCCTCGCGCTATCCATGTTGATAGCATGTACTATTCGTCCGCTCGTTCGCGATTTGCTGTTGGCGATTCTTGTGCAGAGAGATTGGGTGAGCGTGTACTTCCTCAGATACACCTGCCCCCACTACTTCGTTTCCTTCCCTACGAAGATGACTTCGCATCGACTCCCATGTCTACCTCCTCCATGCCTCCCCTACCACCACCACCGCTTAGACACATCGGCTCCTCCTCTACCATTCTCTCAATCTGGATCCAAGGAGGTGGTTGGCAGGGACGCCATCGACCTTAGGGCTGAGGGGTGGCGACCATCCCAGATCAGAGTCAGCTGGAGTAGCTCGAGGGAGACGTGGTCTGGATGGCGTTGCGGCATCCTCGCCATTCGGTATACGCGCAGCTGCGGCTCCTTGCCTTGGCAAGGTCTTCAAGGACGACAAGCTCGTTGAGTGTCTCCTCGACCGCTCCCCCAGCCCCACCTCCTCGAATTCGTATGTTCGTTCCCTTCCGTCCCGTGTCTCCCGTCTACTTCCGAGATTCGCATGCCATCTATTCGAGGATACGCCCATATGGACTGTTTGGTTTTGTTTCTTCTATCCAGGTTGCAGGAGTTCACGAGCTGGCACGACTGCTCTTCTACGACTTCCTAAAAATTTATTTCTTCTTTCCCTTTCCTTTCTTTTGTCTTCACCTGATTGATGTTGTATTATTCATTTGCTGCCGAATTTGTTTTGCAAGTACTTAATCTTGCTATGGAATGAGGCATCACATTTTTGCCAGGCTAGGGTGTCCAGGTACCTACCTTAGGCCATGGTTTCTTTTACTAAGTTATGTATAGATGTCTCTTACTTAGTTTGATGGTATGCACATATTGTTTGATGTCTCTTGGTTCAGGGTTGCTGTATTGGGCACACAAAAAACAAGGATGACGCATGGCACATTTCAGGTGTAAATCTATTTCATATATTGAAAGACATAGGTTGTTCCAGATAGAGTTGTATATTGGTGATGCCTTCTCATTGGTTTGCTGCATATGTAGTTACAGAGTGGGTCGCGCCTTTTCGTCAGGCATCCTCTGGTGCTTCCCACGGTGTCTCTCTCTGTTCTTATTGCTGCTGCACACAAACGACTGACCTTGCTCTGTTTTCTTTCTAGGTTCGACTTGTAGATAGGACACACATCATGGTTAGCTCTTTGGTCATCAACTGGTCCATGACCAAGGTATGTATTCACCACTGACTTCTCTCAGACATATGCATGCTCCTTGTAATCTAGGCATAACAGTTCTTCAGAAAAACTGTATGATCGATCCGCGAGGCGCCGCTGTTGCTATTAGACTAGCTGGAGATGTGGTCATCAACTAATGCAATGCGAGTATGTGATGATGATTTTGACATATGGATGTTGTTGTTCCAAGTTGAATTTCAAGATATTTGTGAGAGGAATTTCACACAAAATTGCTGCAGCTTAATTCACTATACTATTATTATTATTGCATCAGGGAAGGCGTGTATTAGTGTGGTGATAATATGTGTGCATTTCTTATTGCCGTATATTTTCCAATCATTCACTACAAACGAGACTGATCAGAGCATTGATACTTATGTAGTAGAAAAGAAGGTCGGCGCTCACGCTCAGGAAGGACATCTCAAAGTCAGTGCAGGAAATGACCACCGCCGTGTTCTCAGCGGAAGGGACAGAGGGGCACAGAAGCTGCTGACATCCTCATCAGAATTTAGTTCCAAGGAGCTTAGTTACTTAATTACCTCCGCTCGTGTATCTTCATTTTCATGTCGTCGCTGGATTATTATTATTGTTACAGTTCAGTAGTAGTCATTCTAGCTTGGCACCGCTAAATTTTATTTGAAATGTAGAATATATTAAAACAAACACAACCGTATATAACTTCTTGTGCATCAGGGAGGCATGCTGTGGAAGCAAAAGGTTGCAGGTTTATGCTAAGTGAGGGAGATATGGTGAAAGCAGCGAAAGGGAAAGACTACAGATTGCTGGATTGGGAGTTTGGGACTTTGCCTGCAAAATGATTGTCGTCCTGAAAGGCTAGGAGTGGGCACTCCTCTGGGTTGCTCTTTGCTTACATAGGCAACAAAATATATTGCACTTCTGCTAATCACAGTTCATCTCTACATTCTCAGTAGGTACTTTAATTGAAGGGCTTTTCTCAATTGTGATAGGAATAACCTGATAGATTCAAAAAATATCTATCTATTTATGTGTAACACCATGGTTTTTGGCCCCTGCTTTTTCTTTCTGCTGCTTCAGTTGATCTTGTTGGTTCTTTGCTCTGGTTTTTCTCAGTCAACTCATCTGGACTTAACCAACATAAAGCTAAATAAAAACCTCTCTCACTAGCTATATCTCTCTATAGGATAGCCTCACTTGCACCCCTACCCCAAAACCCTAAGATCATATTCTTTTGAGATATATGCCCTAGAACACCTAAGTTATGAAGCAACCACCACTTTAGTGCTTAGGAAAATTTCTAGATAATTATCATAATTTCTTTGGATCAAATATACTTCAGAAAAGTCCCTTGCTCCACTAGGAACTTTTGCATTTGAGCCCCTCTTCCACTTTAGCATTCTGACCCCTTCTTTCAAGTTGTACAACAAGTACTAGCTAGAGGGGCCCATTTGTTCTGCAAATTTGCATACCCACTCACCCTAGTGACTAAACCAACCACACCAAATCTCACATCCTAACTCTAGTTCATTTGCACTTTGCAAACAACAAACACCTTTTGTCCAAAACCTTCTAGATGAACTTGTGCTCACCTCACTGCACCAGCCCCCCAACTGCAGCCGCACACATGCCTATCTTAGCCCCCCTAGCTACTGGACATAGCCAGCAGTGGCAGAGCTTCAACGCGATTTGAGAGGGGGCTAAATGAGTCTTAAATAGAGTTGAGGGGCCTAATCTAGTGTATTCTATTAAAGTTTGTTCAAATATTATTAAATATTACTATGTGTTTATACGAAGAAATAAATTTGGTAAGGGGGCATTGCCCCCTTTGGCCCTCACTAAGCTCCGCCACTGATAGCCAGACGCGGCCAAAACCACCCAGGTATCAGCACCAGGTGGTGACCGTGAGGTTGGCATGCACACATCACGTGCTCTGTGAAGCGCTCGTGCCCTGCCCATGCAGCCGTAGCCCAACTGCACGTCCCTGGCTCCTCTGCCACGCGCAGCCCCTCCCTCGCTCCCCAAGCCCCTCCCTACATCGAGGCGGGCATCGGCCGCCCTCATCCTTTCCTTCCCACAGCGGGCACATCGGTCCCCGTAGCACTCAAACTCCAGCGGACCGGTGATGGGGAAAGGAAGATTGGAAGGCTCCTGGGAGGACCGCATGATCCAACCCCAAAGGGTCCGAGCGTCCGATGCCCCGACGCAATGGACTCGCGTCAAACAGATCCCGCCGTCGGTCGGGCGTTGTTCTCCCAGGAGCTTTGCAGTGCAATGCGGACGACTATTGCCTCCTCCAACCCGCACGAGACGACAGACCAGTCGAGGGATCCGGACTAGTCAGAGTCAGGTTCGCTGCTCGCCATGCCGGAGAAGGCCGAAGATCGCCGGACGAGAGCTTGGGTGGAAGAGTGGGGTGGAAGGAAGTGGCTAGGGTTTGATCTGGGGAGTGGATGGGGACAAATACATGTGGGGTCCGATGGGCCAGCGTGAGCCGGAGCCAACGTGGTGGACGCGGCCGAGCCTTCCAATATTTAGGTTGGATATAAGGGGTGTCGGTCAACCGGGGCGTTTGAGGCTGGTTTGAAGCGCTCGTCTGGGCTTGGGCTTTTTGACCGGTCAGTGACCAGACCGTCCGCCCGGATGTACAAGGTGGATGGCGGCGGCGAAGGAGGTGTACGACGTGGCGTTCGTCCTCTCCAACTCGTTTTTTTTTGCGGCAACCTCTCCAACTCGTTGATGGAGTACCACCTCCACGTCAAGAAGCCCGGTGATGATGATGAGTAGAGTTAGGTTTTTATTATGTTTTAAGCCAGTATGAACTGGCGCGAACTAGTAGTTAAAAAAATATAAATTATGCGGCATATGTTTATTGAATTTGTTTTTATATCGTAAACAAAATTCATAGTAGCGCGGTTTGCAAGATACTACTCCGTATATGCTAGAGATGCTGCAAGCTAAGCGAGTAGAGTAATTCTTTGCCGTCCTGGTCTGGAATCTGAACTGATGGATCGAGCCACGGCACACCGGCGCACGAGTCGTGCCTTAGTGACGGAGTCCGTACTGCCCCACAACCGGCCAGGAACCAAACTCCAAAAGTTCCAAAGCTGGTTGGGTCCGTAGGGCGGCGCTGCGAATGCAGACCGCGGCGGTGCAGCGACGGATCGGAATAGGATAGCGCACTGGAAGGATGCAGACCGCAGCGGTGCAGCGACGGATCGGAATAGGATAGCGCACTGGAAGGATGCGCAGCTCGTGATGGACGTCGTGGACCACCACAACCACGGGTCAGATGTGATCATTCGATATTACATAATGCTCTCGCGTTGCGTCACGCATGCTATGGGGAAACTGCACGCCGATCCTATCTCAATCTGCCCCTCCTCTCCGTGTTCTGGCCACATCCATCTCGCCCTAGGTGGAAACTGCCCGCTAGATTTGGCGGCCATTATTGATCGTGCTTAGCCGTAAGGCCACTAGCTTCCCAGTGGATGTTCACCAATCAACACCGATCAAGATCGGCGCCCACTCCCATTTGCGTTAGGCACCACTGCATTTGCATAACTGCAACGACTGCAGTACATCCGTGACCGAGTGGCACGATCATCGCCGACCGGTCCACCAGCCCACGCGAGCTCGATTATGCATGCTTTTTTTTTTACGGTATCGATTATGCATGCTACCAGGACCAAAAAGCCCACTACTTCACTTTGGGTATCCACTCGTCCCCCTGTATGAAGCTGGCGACGCTGTAGACGTCGACGCGCTCCTTGGGCACCTGGCTGCTCCACGCCACCCTGCCGCCTCCCCGCCCGCCGGCGCCAGGGCCGGCGCTATCATACTCCCCGTAGTAGAGCGTCTTGAGCGCGAAGTCGCCGCTCCATGGCATCCACCCCTCGGGCCGCACGATCTCAGCCATCGTGCACCCGACGAACACCGTGCGGGAGTACTCCTTCCACGGCCGGCCGAGGAACACGTGGTGCACGCCGGGCTTCTGCCGGTAGAAGGCCATGTACTCGTCGCTGCCGTTGACGCGGCAGCCCCGGAGCACGATCCCCGTGGGCTGCGCCGGGTCGGTGCGGCCCTGCGCCGTCAGCGCGTCCGTCTCGCCCTTCTCCGGCCGCAGCTGCCGGGGCAGCACGACGAGGTCGCTGTCGTGGAGCACGGCGGCCGAGTTGCCGAAGACGAAGTCCACCGTGCCGGCCACGCGGCAGCGGGTGTAGAACTGGCGCATGGCGTGCACGTACAGCGTGTCCTGGTGCCCCAGCAGCTCCACCGTGTCCAGCACCGTGCGGTCGCCCGTGGACCGGAACGCCACCGCCTGGTGCGCGTCCGGCCCCGCCGTGTTCGCGATCGTCAGGTCGCGCGCCATGAAGCCGTCCGCGAGCACGCCTGGAAATGAATGAAAAAGCGCAAAGTTACGACATGGTCGATCACTGTGCTGGTCGAGAAAACTCGCGGCCCGTGACATGTGGGTCGCAGATTCGCCTGACAAAGTTAAAATTGTGGACCGTGATGCGACTTTTTCTCTGTGATGAAAATGGCTCGCCGTCCGGACTGGAGTATTGTCGAAGCGTGTTTTTCTTCTTGCTTGATAGGGTTGCATAGAGCACGGGAAAGTTCAGTGTTTGTCTCACCTAGGACCCGTGGTCGGCGTCGGCACGTCGCATTGTCGCTTCCGCCATGGAAGATCGCCGCCGCCGGTCAAGTTAAAAATCTTAGAAATAGACTGGTCGTTGGTTTTGTTTCGGGCCGCTGAAATCATCCAAAGTGCATGTTTTTTTGAAGTCTCCAAAGTGCATGGTTGGGTTGTCATTTGGGTACCTAGATCACCGCATATAGCTTTGTTTTTGGGGATTATTTTTGCCATTTGGCCAAATATTTCCTCCTTAATAATACTAGCTGATCCAAAAATATAATTTGCTAATAGCGTAACTGATTGTAACGCACAAAAGGTAGGAATTGATTGTCCAGATCAGAACAAACTTGACGGAAAGCGTTTTAGGTGCGGACAAAGAGCGATGGGGCGGCCGGTCGATCACGAGCGGCGTCTTTAACGCCACCGCATTCATTTCGTGGACGTAGTACGTGTACGATCGCAGTACAAACTATGCTGGCAAATCCATCGGTGTAGTACGTACGTATACGGTATACCCCCACATAAATACGTACAAATACGAAGGAGTAAGTGCGTGTGACGACGCGTGTACGCACCTACGGTGGCCGTGTTGAACGTGGACACGCCGGGCGTGTCCGCGTTGAGGTCGCCGGTGATGACCGTCTTCCCCATGCCGTCGCCGACCAACACCAGGTTGGTCTTCTCCCACGGCACGCTCACCGTCTCCTTGTACACGCCTGCCTTCACGTACACCACGAACCTCTTGCCCCCGTTGTCCGGCGCGGCCGCCACCGCCTCCCGCACTGTCCTGTAGTCGCACCCGGCGCCGCACACCGTCGCGTCCGCGGGGAGCCCCTTGGGCACGCCGAGCGCGTCCACGTCGGCCCCCGACGCCGCGGGCGAAGGCCAGTACCCGTCGCGCTCCGTCTGCGGCGGCGCCCAGACGGACGTGTCGTCGCCGTACCGCTTCAGCGCGGCGAGCATGGAGATGTAGTTGCTGTTGACGGTGATGGTGTCGTTGAGGTACGCCATGGCATCGTAGATGGTCCGGGAGAAGTTGACGTACTTGTAGGCGGACCAGCAGTCGTAGAGGTGGAGGAGCGAGGCGGAGGCGGGCATGAGCGCCGACGGCGAGGGCGGCGGCTCGAGGCGGTGCGAGGAGAGGGAGAGGGCGGTGAGGCAGTTGGTGGCGGCGGTCGTGAGGTTAACGTTCTTGGAGGAGGCGAGGACGGAGCGCGCGGTGGAGACGGCCGGCGGGAGGCGGGCGCGGAGCGCGGAGAGCGTGGCGCCGAGGAGGTCGGAGGGGGAGGACGCGGCGGTGACGTTGGCGGCGGAGAGCGTGGCGACGCAGGCGGGCCGGAAGCGGGTTGCGTTGCAGGCGAGGAGGACGGGGACCGGCGCCGCGTAGTTGGCCGCCGGAGGAGGCACCTTCCGGGGCGGCGGCGCCGGGGCTTTGTGGTGGTGGCGGGAGGAGAGGGCGAAGGGGAGGTGGAGGAGGAGGAGGAGGGCGAGGAGGCGGAGGGGAGGAGGCATTGCTGATGGTGGAATTGTGCGCAGTGGAGTGTGTGTGGATGGCCGGCGTTGTGGGGGTTTGGGGTTGGTTATATCGGCGAGAGAGAGAGAGAGAGAGGGCAGCGCGCTTGGTCAAGGCTTGGACTGGGTTGGGGAAGAAGGATCGAATTAATAGGGAAATATATTTTTTATGACCAATTATAAAGTCGTATTAAAGCTGCGACGTAGAGAGAATTAATGTACTGCAAAAAGAAATCAAGAAAGATCCCAAACAAATTGCATACTGGAAAGTGATTTAATCTGACGAGAGTTTATTTCTTTTTTATATGGATTTACTCATATTTGAAGTCTTTATCTAACACAGACGATAAATGTCACATGTGTGACACGAAACACTCTGA